TCTCTCTCTCTCTCTCTTTCTCTCTCTCTCTCTCTCTCTCTCTCTTTCTCTCTCTCTCTTTCTTTCTATCGTAAACGGTAGTTCGCAGAAAAATTTCTTCCAAACTCGATTTCTCCCTAGCTCCCCGTGGATGTCGTCTTGAACCGTTGCATCTGTTTTTCTTTCCACCTAAGAACGTTTTCCCGACGATTACTCGCGGCCCTTTTCGAAGCAAAACTCCGACCGCAATCTCTCCTAATCTGATTTCGTTTACAGCTTTTACCATCCGTTCGGTAGCTCGCTTGTTCGCGACTTTTCAAAGCGTACTTTCGACTTTTCCGTAGCTCTCGTTCGTCGTTGTTTCTTTTACCATTCAACTTATCTTTTCTTCCTCCGTTCGAAGAAAATTTACTAAAAGAAGTAAAACCCACGGGAAACGTGTGCACTTCTAAAGATTGAAAGGAGTTATCTCACAGTTATCAAAGCAAAAAAAAATTTTTCATTATAATGATCGAAAGTGTATTTTATTTTTTGTTTTTTTTTTTGTTTTTTTTTGTTTTTTTTTGTTTTTTTTTCTATAATATGTCAATCAAGAGACACAATTTATCTCATTAATTATGTTATTATCTTATTAAATTTATTATTATGTAATATTAATTATGTATTATCTTATTAAATTTATCTCAAATTTTTCAAAGTCCAAATTTATTACTCTTATAATTGTCATCATATTGATAGAATATAGAGCTTATAATTGTACAATTCTAATTGTACTCTGTATCTATTTATAAGATAAAGAATATAATTAATATTGAAGGTTTTACTAATCAGTTAATTTTATGAGGATATACATGTACTTTCGCAAGTATAATTATCTCAAAACATGCAGCGTGTCTAAGCACGAAGGAGGATAATTAATAATGTGTTATAAGAAACGATAAATGCAAGTGTTGCTTTAGACATACAAAGGCTGCTGTCTGACTATGATGTTATTCGAAGTAAGAAAACTGTGAATAAATAGACTGACAGATGTTGTCAGTAGTTTTTATTAGTCACTTCGTCCGTTACTACTTTCTTACAATGGAAGAAAACGAAAGTATGTGTTTTTCAATTTCGCACAGAGTATAGACAGTAAATTCGTGGGAAATTATTTTCTATGGATTTTCAATCTTGATAAAATTTCAGTTTACTAGGTTCCATGTTTGATGAATCGCATTCATTTATCGATTTTACAAGAAAACTTACTAGGAATAAAAATTTGTATCTTTCTTAGAAACTTTTGCAATCTTTCAAAAGTGACGATGAGTCTCAAGAATCAGAATTCTCGAAAGACGTTGCACTTCTCGGAATGATAACAAACGATTCGGGTAAATAAGAGAAAAAGTTGGAGTCGTTGATGTGGCAGTGCCAGTTTCGTGTCTACTCGATGCTTTCAAACTTTCTGATGGGAAAATTTTTTTTTTTCCTTTTTTTTTTCCTTTTTTTTCCCCCCTTTATATCTCTTCCTCTTTCTCTATCTTTCCTCTTGCTTGTTCCTTATTGGAAGAACTTTCCATCGTAGAGCCTTCGTAGTTTGAGATTTCGATATTAAATATAAGAAAAAGAAAAATATTCTTTAACTTACTTTTGGAATGTCAATCGAACCTTTTGCTCTTTTTATAGAACTGTCGACGAAAGCGGATAAATTAAAAGTAGATCCTGCGATATTATGAAGTGACAATACCATAAAAAGTTCTCTCATCGAAAGGATTAAATTTGAATAAGTAAAACATATTTCAATAATCTTCTATCTTATATTTTCTTAAAATCTAATAATAATTTTTTATATAAAGATTAAAAATAAGAAATAAATAATATTGGTCATTAACGTATATTTTCTATATTAACTTTTTCTTTTCTATGTATATTTCTCGTCAATACAATTTTTCAAAATAAAAAATATCATTTTTATTCGAAGTAACTAATATGTATGAACGAAGAGAGATTCTTTTTGATCTTAAAGAACAGTTAAGTCGCAGAAAATGTTCTTATTCGTTGCATACGATTGATCTATCGAATTAAAATGTACGACGATCGACTCGTCGTCGTGGAAACGAGTCTCCCGTGGAAATTGTGCAAAAGCGCTGCCTCGCTGAACCGAAGAAAAGCTTCGTCCCACGGGAAAGCTCTGGAAACTTGCTGAAACGGAAGAGTGCTTCCTGCCGTCGGCGTCGGTATCCTATTATCCTATTTCGCCTGCGTAACGGACGTACATATAGATAATACATATAGTTGAATTGCATCGAGCGTATATGTACTGTGTCGTTTGTCGCCGTGATTTTGTGAAATTTTGAAATATCAATGTGAAAGTGTGTACTTTTTGCCGGGCGTAAAGTTGAAATGGATTCTCGGTATGAAAATTTTCGTTAGCGTTCAACGGACCGAATTTTATTTCATTTATTTTAACGTAACCGAAACAGAAAATACATTTTGTTTTCTTTTTTCCTATTTAACTTAACGTTTTTAAATCTGCTTTGTACCTATGTTATGGTAACATACGGCACGTTTAAAGATAATTCGTAATAAAATATAATTTAATCGGAAATGTAATTACCAAAAGAATTCATTATTTTGCACGTATTTTACGTATTATATTATATATAACGATACATACGTAACGGATCATTGGAGAAAGCTCTTGTACTTGTGGCGTATGTATATGATGTTCTCTGGCTTTATTCGTGTTGTATTCGCCCGTGTAAATCACTTTCCGCATACATCAAACTTTGGATGTAACATATTGTTCTGAAATGTAGAGAAACGAGACGTGCTCAACATGCAATACGATATTTCGAAGTGAATAATTATTCGAAAGGTGTTCTTGCTTTGGTTTCCTCCTCCCCTCTCCTTCTCTCTCTCTCTCTCTCTCTCTCTCTCTCTCTCTCTCTCTCTGTCTCTGATTTTGTTTTCTGCCAAATAATATTCATAGTATATAGGTATGACAACACATACATGACGAAAGAAAACAAATAGTACGATGATAGAGCAGGCTAGTATGCACATTATATCCCAACTTTGTAAAAAGATGAATAGATGATAAAAATGAACAGAAAAGGATAAATATAATAAATATGAGAAAATGAAAAATAAAAGCAGAGGAAAGGGAAAATAAACAATTTTCGACTGATCGCTCGTTTTTTACCATAAACAGAAGTTTAAACTGTGATAAAATTTTGTCAATGAAACACGAAGTAATGATCTTATAGAGAAATTATCATCAATAAAAATGGAAGAAAAAGTTATTTTCTGATTATATCTATTCATAAGTTTAAATGATTTTTCTTATTATTTTTATGACAATTAAGCTCATAAATTTATATATACTTTGATCTGATTTTTTTTTCTTTTTTAATATAAGCTCAATGATAGAGTTAGAAACAATGCCTTTCTTTGCGGTAATTTCAATATGACATGGAGGAATATATCAGGGAAATATGTAAGTGGAAGAATTCACAAGCCCTGTTTGTGCTAGCGATCAAGTCTCCGGTTGGACAAATAGCTCATCGAGCATTGAAATCTTTGATTTCTCTACCATTTTATATGAATATATAATTATCAATTATAAATAATTTGTAACCATATATATATATATATATATATATATATATATATATATATATAAATAATAAATATATATGATAATGCATAATAAAAATCTTGATTGAAGTCGAACATTTTTGTCATTTTAAAAGTAATATTGATTTAAAAATGTAAAAAGAAATTAAAACAAGTATCTTTTGACAAATTTTTATCTTGGTTAAGATTTATCTATAGATAGATAAAAAAAATTAGTGAAATCAAAGAATTAAAAAAAATCGATATTTTCCAACAAACGAACTAGTTTTTACTATATCGAATTTTTTAAAAGTTACTTACTAATTGAACGTGTAGCTCGAGCTTACTGCAAGGTAATAAATATCGATTATCGGTGTTCTCGCTTATGTAGCTGTGTATCGCATGACACAAGTGTATATGATATATGACATAAAATGGCTCTGTGTGTCTGCTAAATTATTAAATACCAAATCATCGAGGGAACGTTATATTTCATCATTATAGATCGTTGTTGGCGTTAAATAACACGTCATTTTACGTATATATAACGGATGTCAAAATAATTGAGATATTCGATGCCTCAAAATATTCAGTAACCACGAAGCACGAATAATTCTTACTTACAATAAAAATAATAAATAGCAGTGTCATCGATTCTAATTAACTAAGAAAAATGTCACGTAGAATTTTAAGGCAATTATTATGTTACTATTCCATTAAACTGTTTATTAATTTTAATTTTGATATTTTCGCAAAATACCCATAGGCCGTTAATATTTTGTATTTTAAGAAATATTAAATGTTGGGGTTAGAGAATTCCTTACGGAGTATTCAAATGAAATGAATATTTCTCTAAAATAATATTCCAGCGTTAACTGTGTGCGTTTTACGAAATCTCTTCGACATGTTTCTACTTTAATTCGAATTCTACATTAATCCTCATTGAAGAGAGACATATATGAATACACGAATAAGTCGCGAACAGTCTACCACATTGACTGATATAGTTATGATGATATATTACTCTGCGGTGCTTCAACTACCTTAAAACAATTTACATAAAATAACTACGACGTAAATGTTACCATTATATTTTTGATATTATGAATGACCAATTGAAAAGTAAAATTTATTTTCAAGAAATTTTCCTCGTAACATTATCGAAAATAAAATATATAAAGAGATCGAACGTATTAATGATCTCTGATGGAAAATGAATGATTTTAATTTATTGTAGATATTTTATTTACTAAATACGACTGTGAAAGAGAACGAAATAATTAACGTTGAATATTAATATCGAAATATGTCATTCTTCTGTATTTTATTGCTTTACCTTAACGATTATTAATTAAATTGATTCCAATCTTTCATGTTTTTTCCTTTTTATTTATGAAACTATAAAATTATGTAATTGTTTATTTCAGAAACAGTTTATGATCTGCTCGTAACTACGGTAACGTCAACGGACGACCTCAATTTTTATATTGACGATGGCCTCGACGGATTTCCGGCTTTTGGTTTCCGACCTGGATCTGAAGTAAAACAACCCTATAGACTCTATCTTCCTGAGAAGTTGCCGGCCGAGTTTACTCTGTTGGCTATTTTTAAACCGATTTCCTTTAGGACTAGCTACCTCTTCGCAGTTCTCAATCCCTTTGAAACTGTTGTGCAATTGGGCATTCGAATTTCGGTAATTCTAAATAACTATATTTAAATAATGACGTTTTATTTTTTTTTTTTGTCATTTTTTTAATATCTAGTCTTTGAATCATTTCCATAACATTTTAATGAATCTAAATAATTTAAATAGAATAATATTTATAATTGAAATTTTCTTTCTTAATATATGAACAAAAATATGATAATATTTTCTTTCATCTGTTTTTTTTTAAAGGATGGTCCAGGCTCTAATCAGAATATTTCATTGGTTTACACGAACTCCGATGAGCATTCCCATTCGGAAGAAGTTGCCAAATTCACCGTTCCAAAGTTGACGAAAAAATGGTCCAAAATCGTCATCAAAGTGTCTATCACCGATGTTACCTTATATTTGAATTGCCATGAGATGGCTAGGCAGAAGGTAACCAGAATTCCTTTGGAATTAGTTTTTGATACTGCCAGTACGCTTTACATGGCTCAAGCTGGACCACATATTCAGGAGAGATACGATGTAAGTTATTTGAACATTATTAAATTACTTGTTCTCGAAATCGATTTTGAAACTTATAACAATCAAGATGTTTCGTTTCAATGTGGAAGAAATATCATGGAATATTTTTATTAAATTATAAATTATCTTTTAACAAATTGAAATATATTTCAACAATTTTTCTACCTCGAAACGAATATACTTATTATCGTTTTAACTTTCTTTCTTTAAAATTCACGAGTTTGGTTATGACGCGTAAATCTAAATAAAAGATTCAAGATGACAATAATCTACAATGGAAAGAGAATAAATCCTTGTACGTGGGGTATAGAGTGAAATCACCAAACGAGAAACATTTAAATTTGCATGAAATAATAAATTTAAAAAAGGATTTGTAAAATAATAAATATAATAAATTGTACATTTAAAAAACGGAAAAAGTACGCAGACGAAATTATATGATTTTCTTTTTTATTTGTTCAGTTATACTTATAATGTTTTTACAGTTTTTTCAAGTTCTATTATCATTCTTATATGAACAGATGAATAGAATCGAAATAAAAAAATGAACTTAACAACGTCATTCATCAGACTCTTCTAGATTTGCGATAAAATATAGGTATTCACGAATTTCAAAAAATTCTCTTTAAAGTCTTGTCTTGTCAAAAACTGAATGATCGATGAATAAAGATTATCGATTTTATTGTGTCGAACAAACCGCGAGAACGAAGTTGGATCGTTTGTTGAAATATCCATTTTTTACGTTACATATATAAAATATTCACTTTTCACGATATATATGTAGCCGTATATATTATAAATTATCTCAATAAAACCCAATCAATTTTTAAAAATAAAATATTTAATATTTTTCTGTTAAAGAGAATATATACAATTATTATATTCTCTTTATCATAATTTGTCATTAATCTGTGTTTAAAATTTATTTAATCGAACGAATATTAAAGTTAAAACTCACGAAAGGATTGAAATATTACATAATATAATAAAAGTGCATAAAATATAGGATTAGTAATAACCATATGCAAAACATTTTGTAGAGGGACGATTAATCGTTAAACGTGACTCCATTGGCTTTGCAGAATGTCACGAAGCTATCCATGATGATTTAATCCGTACAATAGTCGATAGGAAACGTGTTAATGGTAACGCCGCGAGTTATCTAGCTATGACAATTAGTTTCTATTTGAGACGCATTGTGATTCTCGAGTAAATGGCCGCGCTTTAAACAGTGTACAGGCTTGGTCGTACAAATGATTCATGCGAAACCTTTGTTAATTAGTTGCTACCGGTAATTGTTGCAACGTGGCTCTGGTCAACATTTTGTTATAATTACATTATGTTCTATTGGTGCGACGAAATGCTACAGTAGTGGCGCCATAATTAATAGGATACGTTCACACGACGAATTTTGACCAGACTTGCCATATTTTAGTCTACCAATCGATCATTTCTTTCACCGATGGTATTAACATTAAATCCGTACCACCTGCGTTTAGATATGTCAAAAAGCGGAATTAATTTTCCACCATTTCTTACCAGAAACATTAATCTTCGTTTAATCGATCTCGTTATTACGAGTCGTTTCTCGTAATATATTTTACAGGGAACAGATGAAAACCGAATTGTCAGCGTTTATCAAGTTGTTTATCCGAATATTTTACAGGTAAATGCATTGGGCAGATTTAAATTCGCATAAAATCAGCCAGTGTTACGTAGGTGTATTAATTTTTGTCGCTATTCGATTTGAAAAAAATCCAGATTTCTTTTTATTATTATTATTAATATTATTATTATTAATAATACTCTTGTTCTTTTTATTTAAATTATTCTTAATGATGTCGACATTGATACTGTAATTAAACAGAAAGATGACCATCTTCTAATCAGTGATAATCAAAAACAACCGATGTCAATATTCATACGTATGAAACTATTGATTTATCCGAAAATATTCGAGAAAAAATCAAAATATCATTTTTTTTTTCAAAATATCGATACTATATATCCTCGTGAAGTACAACTTAATAGTTTATACGAAATTCCCTTTTTTTGTTTTTATCGTCAAGGGATTTCCCAAAATCTCCTTTCATTTTTTCATTCCTTCCACCATAAAATTTGAGCAATTAAAAGTGCAAAATTCGTTTAAGCTTTCGAGCTTTGTAACTCGACAAAATGGAAATAAAAAAAAAAAAAAAACAAAAAAGGAAAAACACTCTACATATCGGTTCGCGATAAAAATTCAACGCATTCTGTGTGAATTGGAAAATACTTAGCTTTAAACCGTCATTTTAAATGAATTATAGATTTACTGATTCAATCAAAATTTAATGTAAACAATTTAGAAACTTTTGAAATTTTCAATAAGACAATGGAACAATAATTACTTGATTATCTAAGTCACAATATGTATTATAATCATAATATTAGGGAAAGTATAATTATTAATTTAAATAACGAAAGTTCTGATATATTTTTTAACTCATTTGGAATTCAACTTTTCTTTTTCCCTTCTCAAGTATGCCGCATTTTGAAGCAATACAATTGAACAAAATTTATAAGCTATACGATCGTTTGCACTAGTAACGAAACGAAAGAAATAGAAGAGAACGAGAGAGAATAGCATTGATATTTCGATTTTCATTCAATGTTCGACGTTATATCACCCTTTTAATTAACTCACACCTGTTTTGTTATTTTTTTCTTTTTTTTTTGGTTTCCTTGTTCTCTCGTGTTTTACATGCTCTCGTGCTCTTGTTTTACTTTTCCCGAGAAAGGAAAACGTTAATATCATTGCAAACATTGTTTTCATAAAGTTTGTGGGAACATTTCTCTATAGATCAAAGAAAATTCTTTTCTTTTTTTTTCTTTTTTATCTTTCTTCTTCCTTCCGTTTCTTTCCTTCTTTCTTTCTTTCTTTCTTTCTTTCTTTCTTTCTTTCTTTTTTTTTTTTTTTAGATTTGTTTTCTCTCTCACTGGATTTATGTTCATAAATATTATAAGCACACTAAAAGAAAATAAAGAGTGAAATTATATGAGAGATACAAACGCGAGAAACTCTAAATGCCTCTTCATTGCAGCGTGTCCTTTTAGTGTCACGATACGTCCGTACGGTGGACGTATCGACGCATCAACAGGAATATCGTTCAATTTGTGGCGGATTATTTGAGCGAATAAATCGGCCGGGCGTACCGATTAATTTCACTCGTTGGAATTGATATTTTCGCCATGGCTCTGACGCTTTTAATTTACCTACCTTCGTGTACACCTTGTTTTATCCGATTTCCCATTACCTTGTTTTTTTTTTTTCATTTTTCAATAATGATAGAAAAAGAAGAAGAAAAATATTGATATCGTAGTTACTAGATGGCAGAGTGAATAAATTTATAAATAAAGAAAGATAAAAATAGGAAGAAAGTAAATACTTGTTACGATTGAAATTATTTTTGGATCTTTCTTTCTCTCTCTCTCTCTCTCTCTCTCTCTCTCTCTCTCTTTTTCTTTTTTCATTTTCTGAGAAAGAAGATAGTCTCTCATTTTTCTTCCAAAACACTTAAAAATCGAGTCATCAAAAGTGTTAGCTTCGCAAATTCATTTTTTCTCTTGCTCCATTGACATCAACCGAGCAATGTTGTTCTTACGGGATGATGTTATCGATTGTTTGCCAATGTTTCCATTTCGTAGCTTCACGCCCTTCGCCTCTCTGACTCTTAGCCATCTTCTTTTTTCTCCTCTCACGGTTGACTTCTTGATGTCTTTTCGGAATAACAACGGGAATACTGGGGAGAAAAGTTTTGCAGTCGTTCGAGCTCGCACGAATCGCAACTTCTCTCTCCACGCGGACTAATCTCTATAAATTGAGAGAACGTGGCACCATCGGAAGGAAGGAAGGAAGGAAGGAAGGAAGGAAGGAAATGAAGAAAGGAAAAGGAAGAAAAAGGAGAAGGACTTCGAACGATAGAATGACAACAAGCAGAGCTTGCATATTTTATATTCGACGTGATATACTTGGCCGAGTTTTCATAAAACTTAACGTGCTTAGTTTGTTTTTTTAAATTAAATGTTGAATCGTTCAACATTACCGTAAACTTTGCTTAACTTAACTTATGTATATGCATATGTACTTATGTTAGGTATATATGCATATATGTATTTGTGTGCATGTATATATATATATATATATATATATATATATATTATTTGTCACGCAAGAGAAACATAAAAGTTGACGAAGCAAACGATCTTTCGAGAGAAGCAATGACGACATTTTAGCTTCTGGATGAGATTGCTTCCGAGGAAATACGTGATCTAGATCTTTCGTCTTCGAAGAAAGACAAAACTTTCCTTCTCTCGGTATGATATAGATTTTATTATAATAATGCAATATATTCGAACACGAGGAATACTTGTTCTATCGAAGGAAGTATCTCCATACATACATAGATACATCTTATCTTCTCTACGTATAGTCATCAAATCGCATGGTCGATGAAATTGCAAAATGCGCTCGATGGAATGATCAAGAACAGAGGAAAAATATTTTCAGAGAAAGAAAGGAGAGTGTAACAAAATTGAATGTTTTTAGATATCTCTTTTTTTTTTTATGAAAAACGATTAACCCTAATTTGAGAGTATATAAAATTAGACAAAGACATTTTTTTTTTGTTATTATTATCATCATCATCATCCTTTTTTTTTATTATTACCAATCTAAATTTGGAACTCGAATATATATCTTGTCTATTTAAAAAAGCTCTATGTGTTTGGCTGTTTGTATAACTCGACACATAGTGTACTATACTAGACGTGCTGCGGAAGAAGGCGAGGATTAAATAAAGAACGAGAGACCGGATGCGATTCATGCTTCACCACTATCCGTACCACTACCATCAGCATCACCAAGGCTACCACCTCACCACGTACTTACGCTATACCGAGTCACACTCCACTTCCTTGGTGTTTCTCTTCTCTCAAGTTAAGCGCTTCTGCTTTTTAATAAG